CCACTCCACCACATCCCTACACCGCATATCCCCACACTCTGTGAGATGTGTGCACTGGCTGACTTCCTAATCTGCCTAATCCTAATCTGCAGTGTACTCCAAAACATTTTAACTTTCAACATACAATATAACTAATTCTTAAAAGCCAGAGTTAGACAATGTAAAGGCTGTAAAATTTAATAACAAGAATGATGTCACTTGTTTGAGACACATAATGACCGTATTTTGTGAATATGTCTTTCCTTTTTTGCGTTATATTACAAAACTGTCAGAATGTAGACTGTATAACTTCAAATGATGTTATGATTGATGACTTGGGAAGAATTTGGCTTGATCACAAGAAAACTGAGTCATGATAGCTGAGGTCTTGGCCAAGATTCAAAACAGGCACCTCTGGAGTACAAGTCCACAGCGTACCATTAGACCACCCTCCTCAGTGTGAATGGATCACTAAATGTGAGATGCCCAGAAAGGGATATGTCTGAGGTTAGGAGGGAGGGCAGTGATTAGTAGTCATTATTAGGAAAGTCAATACATAATTAAAAAGAAATGTTTTGGATATTTAATTGCATTTTTCTTTATGTTTTTAGGATTCAACCCCAGATGGAACCAAGAAATGAGCTTCTCCCTGAAAGTACCAGAGTTGGCCATGGTTCACTTCATTGTGAGGGACTGCAGCACAACAGGCAAGGACGCTATGCTGGGCATGTACGCCCTGCCATTCACCAGCATACAGGAAGGTACGGTAGTGAGTCAGGCTTGCCTAATGGTCATTGTATGAACATCAGTTTCTTAGACAGAGTTCAGTTGCTGAACACTGCAGCAACACCATAAGAAGACCCTTGGATGGTGAGGATAATGGCATTCAAGGCTCCTGCCTGTCTGTGTACATTTCTGTTTCCCTCCAGGCCCCTCTGGACTGTGTCAGTGAACCGAAGCCTCTTGTTGCTACTAAAGAGTATCACTGCTACTGCTAACACTCTAGCAAACAGAATGCCTAGAAACTGAGCAGGTTATTGAACCACAGTGCCCTATACTTGTGTTTGAGTGGTGCGCTGCTAAACTCTTGGCTGGACACCAGCTGTCCTGGCTGAAAGTTACCATGATCTTCATCAGTCCCTCCAGGTGAATAGAAGGATACACAACAACTTCCTTCCAAATCTTTTGCAGTTCATCTTTCTTCTATCATCTTCTTGTCTGATGCTGTTTTGTCTAGCTGCTGACAGTGTCTTAACCCAGAAAATAGGAACAATAGATAGGTGACTGGAGGTCTGCACCGTAGCTCAAGCGGTTAGTCGCTGGCTTCCCACCGTGGCGGTCTGGGTTCGTTCCCGGGTCTGGTCAAGTGGGATTTGTGGTGGACAAAGTGGTGCTGGGGCAGGTTTTCTCCAAGTACTTCGGTTTCCCCTGCCAATCTGCATTCCACCAGTTGCTCCACAATCACCCTCACCTGTCATCTGGGGCTGGTACAATAGGCCAGAAGTGGCCGCAGTACAAGGGACTTAGTCCCACCCCACTAGCAATAAAAAAAAATAAGTGACTGGTGGGGGATGTAGGGAAGTATACTGTAGGGTGGGGAAGCATGACAGATTGAGGGAGCTGTGGAATAGCTGATCCATGGACTTCATTCTGTGGCCTCAGAACTGTGAACTGACAGCAGATTCAACTTGCTTCTTTGCAGGGTACAGACATGTTTACCTGTTGGATTACCTGAGGAACCTGGTGTCACCAGCGACTCTCTTTGTGCATGTCTCCATCGAGTGACAATTCAACATTCTCTGCCATGTACTATGGTGGCTATGTACTAATTTCTCACGTAATTCCTTTTTTTAATGTGTATAAGAGAGAGGTGGAATGTGGTGAAGTGTGTATCGCCTGGAGCGGTGATGTAGGAAGAAGTAGAATCCTCTGAGCCTAACGCCATGTATTGAGGAACAAGACACTCATGAGGGTCTAAGCTTTTAGTATGCAGCACTTGGTGCTCACGCCCAACATCAGAGAGTTAGAAAAGTCTGTCTGAAGAGTTCCTCTGAAGTTGGTGTTCAAGATTTAGTCCATTGCATGCTATGAGCATTAGATGAGACCGTGTTACTTGCACTGAAATTGCCACAACCAAAGAGATGGACTCATTAATGAATTAATACAGCATTTCTGTCAATAAGTGACATCAGGTGTGACAAATTAATGTTTAGAGGAAATAATAATCTTACAAGTGATCTGTACATGCTTATGTTTGAAGGTCATTTGAGGAAGTTTTTTGTTTTTTTTCTGTGCAGCTGAATTTACCCCCAAGCAAACTTTTCTCTGCAGTTTTATGACAGGGCTTGGCAGCGAAAGGCTTTATCATTAACCTGAACATACATAAACTCTCTGGTGTAAGTTCAGTCCTTATGGTTAAAATATGGAATGCATGTGAACACCATAAAACAGAAAATGGAACAAGCACAAGATTTCATCCATCTGCAGTAGGAGAATATTTTTTTAGTGTATAGGAAGCCTGTCTCTCCTGAAAGGTTGAAAAATGCTATAGTTTTGGGGGCTGCATACTTTCACTTAATTCTTTGGACTACCAAGACCTGCTGGAAACACTAAAGCTGCTTAGGGAACACGCATTTGTACACAAAACCCCACAATCCTTCCTCAAATGACCTTCAAACCAGCGGATGTATGTCATTTAGAAGTCTACTCCGTCCCTTCAGTACAATTTGTCACACTTGATGGCAGCTGTTGACAGAAATGCTGTACTAAATGATCACTGATGATTCTGTGTCTTTGGCTTTTGTAGTTAACACATGTACCCTGAACTCATCTAGGTGGAATGAGGTTTAAAATCATTCTTCAGTTCCTGCAAAAAATAGACGTTTGAAGGTTTGTAATATTATTGAAAAACTGGCAAGTTGGAAGTCCATTTGGTACAGCCTTATCATTACTGACTCTGGGTGTATTTATTCTCCCCAACACTGAATACACTCATGTTATATATTCTTAAACATTTGGATTTTTATACATCTTCAAATACAATATAAGTTGAAGAGGAGATAAGCCTTTTCTTTGTATGAAATTGAGAAAGAATAGTAAGAATAGCTGTGGCTGAGGTTCAGTTGTTAACAACCCAGTTTTTTTTGGGGGGGGGCATATGATTGGTTGATTATTTTGTGAGCATTTTCAAATCATCTGACACAAGTCTGAGCATAAGTGGGCTGTGATTTTTTAAATGTCCTGCCAAGTTTTGCAGTAAAATCACTTTTGGTTTAATTTATTTGAATATATTACATAAAATTAGGTCCAGTTTCAGTTTTCAGCATTTTCACCTCGTGATTCACACGATTTTATTATTTATATACCCTAATTTTCTGTTCTGGGATTAAAAATAAAATTAAACTGCTCCAAATTGTATATGTTCCATTCCTATGTATGACAGCACAATGGGAAATTATGTCACTGAAGTTTTAAGGGGGTAGCAGCTGGTTTATAAAATCCAAAGTGAGTTAGCACGAATTCTGTATACTTGATACAGTTTGGACTCTGTTGGCAAATGTCCCATAGTGTGCTGAATGCAGCCTGTGAACTGCCAGGATGCTATGTCATATAAACTGATATGATTAACATTACATGATGCATGAGTTATATATACAGACACACACACACACACACACACACACGCACACACACTGTTAGAAAGAAAGAGCTCCCTTGTGTTGTGAGGTTTGAGGTTACTATAGCAGTGGTAATGATGGTTGAAGATACTGACTTTTTAAGATGTGATGCCATACACTATAATAGATAGGTGTAAACTTTTCTTCCACCTTGAAGATGGAAGCAGCAGATACATCCAAAACGTTGGTACCTATCTACCAAATTATATAGCATTACATGTTAGAATAGCATAATCTTCTCTCTTTTGTTTTTATGAGTGGAGCCCATTTTGGACCCATCCAGCATTTAAAAGAAGATGTTCTACTTTTACGGACAGTAGACAGTGGTATCTTCAGTGATGGATAATTTTTGTAGTTCCTCATGTAATTTGCTGTGAAATAGAAATAATGGCTTTCATATGCTGTTGGACTGAGTCTCACAGAGAGTCCAGAATGGTCAGGACTTCTCCCAGGGAACCAACATCTGTGGAACCATTAAATTAGCTGGTGCAGCTTTTCCATGCCCATTCATGTATGAGCTATGTCAGTTTTATATTAAGCTATTAGGTTACTAACCTCAGCAAATGCTATTATATATTTTTATAAGATATATTTTTTACCACGCGGAATCCTTTTGTATAGTAAAGTTTGTACAGTAACCTGAGGTTAAATTTACTGTGTGGAAGTTACTTCAAGAGGAGGCTCTGAGCCTTGGCTTCACAGTGTTCACTTGATCAAGTGCAGACAAATTTTTCCAAGCAACCATAAGTTTTACAGATATGAAATCTGTAGGTGAGAGTTCTCTGTATCTACTGACATGGTCTGTGAGTTACTTGGCAATATCTCTAATAACCTTTTTTTAAGGCAAAAAATTAAAGCATTGAGTGTATGAAGGGTAAGCCTTCCCTTATGTGTAAGTGCCTTGAAGTGTTTCTGCTGCTGTGGAACCCATTGTCTTATGTTGTCTCATTTGTGAGAGTTTCAGAATTTTCTTTGTTGTTGTTATACAAAGAACATTGACAGGAAATGCAGCTGATTAGTTTGTATGCTGAGAGTCTGATTTACATTTTGCTAACATTTATTGTTGTGAAAGAAACACTATGTATTTCACAGTGGTTCATTGTTGATGTTTATTCTACTTTTGGGACTTTGTGCTGTGTTGATGCAGGCAGCATTGTTGACATTCCAGATTTAAATGCTGCCCCCATCTTCAGGGTTGAAGTGAATAGTGTGGATGAGTTTATATGCGTGTATACGTAGGTTTTGGTTGAACAGACCCATGGAGGGAGGACGGAAAACTTGTACCCAATCCTGACCAGTATGATCAGTGGGCAAGGAAAGTTACTGAACATTGTGCTTGAGGGCCACAACATTCATGAAAAGACCATCAGTGACAGATGCTCCAGAATGATCACCCACAGAAGTGCTCACCGAACAGAATGTTGTTTCAGTTAACTGTGCTGTGGGTCATGTGGAACGTTGCAGAGGATTCCCTAATGGCCAAGGGTATATTGCCGCAGAAACAGGAAGGAAGGTAATCAGGGATTCGTGTACTGTATAAAGGAGATGTCAGCACATATGACACGGACTGTTCGCAAGGACTGGATTGAAATTATTTGCATTCTTCCATTCCTGGCACGGTTTCTTCTTATCACCACAAAAAATATATACATTTTACTTGTCCTGTCATATATTTGTTTCTGATCAGAATTGTGTGCTGAAGAATAACACAGTGAGAGATGTTTTCACAAGTTTTCTAATAGTGGGCAAATTGTTCTTCAAATATTCATTCCAAATTTTGTAGTTGTGATACATTAACATTTTAAAAATAATCAGCCTGATAATTAATTAAGTAAGTAAGTAACTAAGGACCCTTTTTTGTATTCTGAGATCTGTTTATTTGGCTGCATTCATCTCCCCCCCAATGATTCATCCTGAAGATGTAAGTGTGATATGTACCAAAATGTTTGGAAGAGCTTCAAGATATGACACAGCTGAAGCCCAGAGAAACTGAAATTACAGTTGTGCCCTGAAGTAGGATGCAGAAAGTCAATGTAATTATTTAGAAATGCAATTTTAGAAATTTTAAAGCATTTGAAAATTAAAGAAATCTGTAAAAAGTTGTAAATTTGGGGGTTAATTATATTGCTAATTGAAGAAGTTAAAAACTGCAGAGCTCATATATTTTTCTGACCTTACATTTTAAGGATTTTTGTTCTTCAGCATTCAGTAATAATAATGAAATATTTTAATCAAAGTAGATGTAGCATAATTGGGCACGCAGTAGTGTACCCGGTTGAGGCACTGTGCTACATGCTGGAAGGTTGTGGGTTTGATTCTTGATGAGGTCATTGGATTTTTCAATTGACCTAATCCTTCCAGCCCCACTATGGCCCTGGGGTTGACTCAGCCTCTAACAGAAATGAGTACCAGGAATCTTCCTGTGGATAAAGGACTGCTGGCGTGTAAGGCTGACAACCTCACCCCCATCTATGAATCAGTCTACAGAATCTCACCATCCTATGGGCCTCCATGGACTGTTACAGGGATAGCTTTATTTTTTTAAATGTAGTATAATACAGTGTGGAGTGCTCTGTAAACTGTGATTGATTCAACTCAAATGTTGTCCTATTGTTACATGCTGTGACCTATGATGTCATGCAAATTTTCATTGTATATTTTGTAAGTGAATTTATGTTCTTTTCACTATATTTCATTTAGAGGTACTCCATGATCTGCCTCGGAGAGGTGATACTTTGTCAGCTGGGCAAGAAGTTCCCACTTTTTGGAACCTAAAGAACCTTCAGTATGCCCATGAGAGCTTGCCATTGGGCATTGTCTTGAGCTACTTCTGTGTCCCATTCCAGTGTTCACACTGTACTTCTCTGAGATCCATTTTCATGTCATCCTTTCCATCTGTACTTAATCTCCCGTGGTACAGTTTGTAGCATAAGTTTATTATTATAGCATAGTGGTTGAGGGACTATGCTACAAGCCGGAAGGTCGTGGGTCTGGATTTTTTTCAGTTGACCTAATCCTTCCAGCCGCACTAGGCCCTGGGGGTTTACTCAGCCTCTAACAGAAATGAGTACCAGGAATTAATTAAATAATTTTCCTGGTGAGTAAAGCGCGGCCGGCACGTAAGGCTGACAACCTTACCACCATCTTTGAGCCGATTTTCTAGATAGTGTGGGACCCTCAGCGTCTCACAATTTTATGGGCCTTCACGGCCTGTTACAGGGATAGTTTTAGTTTGTTTTTTTTTCTTATGTATGAAGTTAACCAACTTTCTGGAGGAGCATTCTGAAGACCTTGTTGATGGATGCAGTTAGTTCCTCTGAAATGTCAGTGAACATCTAACAGACTACACAGTGTCACTTGCCAGAAGATAGAACCCTTCATATTTGTCACTGCTGACAGAACCTCAAATCCAACAAGAAACAGCCCACTAGATGTCTCCACAGCCTAATCAACTGGAAAATGGATATAGGTCTCTGGTTTTAAACTCGTTTTGAGGAACTGTTCTTCTCTTGGGATTCGTTTTATGATTGCCCTCAGTTGTTTCAGGCAGATGCTACAAAGAAGGCTTAAAATATGCCATGACCAGTTACATTTCTAATTAACCATTATCAATCATGCTTCTCTCCTGCATAATGCAGTTTATATGGTGAAAAATTGTCGTTGAATAAGAAATAAGATATCGAGACACCTCGCCAAGTGTCCGTTGACCTCACCAAATTCACAAATCCATCTTCAGGGTTAAAGATTAAGCCAACAACAAGTATTTGCTGGGCAGAACGCTGTACTTACTGCCTGCTTGTTTAGTTCTCTGCACATACATTATTTGGAATGGCTGAGGAAAACAACGAAAGCCATATTGTGAAGATTGTTGCTATATAGTCGAGATTCAGAGCTAGCCTTCCTTATAAAGATCCTGTATTGGCAGCCATGGTATGGCTTTTGGTGTGAGTTAAAATGTTTTATGATATTTTAGCCTTTCCATCGACTTCCAAGGAGAATCGTCATGACACTGTGAGTCTTCTAAGTGATTTCAAAAGCGGTGTTTAGCTCGTTTCCATGGTAACAGTGACGCTGGTGCATCATAGAAGCTTTCTCTTGTTTTATTTATAAATCAGAGCCTTGTGGTTAATACATGCAGCCAAACAAGGCGTGACAAATCTGAGAAGTCAAACGGAATTTTTAAAACTGTCTGCGTTGCGCCGTACCGCCCCTGAGTGTCCGTTAGAATCAAACGTGTTGCATGAGCTGTAATGGGGCTGCATGACACAAATAGACCGGGGTGTAATGGCTGCAGAGTGTCCTATAAAGGGACTAATTAACTCCTTTAAACTGGGTGTAGAGATGCTGAGAATTGCTAAGATCACCTTCATGAAACCTCAAATTGTTATTACTGTGTTCAAAAGAGTCCTCAATTGGTACTAATCTCTGGCCACTTTAATCCACTTCTCGTTATAACGCTTTTTTTACTCTCTATATTGTACTTTCATCTGCGTCTAGGTTTTCCGAGTATTATATGAGTGCTGCGTGCTCTGCCCATCTCATACACCGCGAATTGATCACCCAAATAATATTTGCTGAAAAGCTGAACATTTTTACGCTCTTAATTACGCAATATACGATTAACACTGCGTGAAGCTATACCTTCACTCACCCAATACGCATTTATGATGTGGTGCTTAGACGCAGGGACAGTTTCACTAAATTTGTACGCGCATTTCGAGTGTAAAATTAGTGGTTCACGAAACCAAAGTATTTCACATCTTTGCTTTAATGGTTTGTTTTACGGGGCTGTCATTAGCGAAACTATACAGTATTAAGTGGTAGACTGGCAGATGAATGCTGAATTGGAAAGGATAAGGATGGAGCTGGTGTGCCCTAACCATGGTTCTATGCTATCACTGGCTGGAGGCACAGAAGAAAAACGTTTCAGCCAGAATAGCCTGTGTCCTGGCCGATGTTTGAACCGAGATCTTCCTGAATACAAGTACAGTGTGTTACTGCTACGTAAAGACATCGAAATTAAGTTTCGTGCATCACAAACGTGTATCATCACGAAACAAAACTTTTACTCTTCTCCACAGCTCCCATACCGGCTCTGGGGCCCACCCAACCTCCTATCCAGTGGGTTCCGGAGGCTCTTTCCCCGGGGGTAAAGCGGGCGAGGCGTAAAGCTGGCCACACATCTCCGTTTACTGGTAGGTCAAGAACGGTGGAATTATACTTTCACTCCTCCATACGTCTTCATGGCAAAGAGCCACCTTTATCTCTCTTTCTTTTTACCTTCGAGTGCAAGTTTATACACGCTTAATTCAATTTCTGCAAAATATCACGATCCGCCACTGCAGAATTGTCAAGTTGGAGAATTTACCTCCCCCCTAGCCCCCCCCTCCTGTCGTCAGTGATGTGGGCAGTCCTCTCATGTTTGTGTCTCAACCACCCACGCAACCTACCGGCGGCTGAAGGAAACCAGCGTCTTTCGATGCTCGTTTGTTTTACCCCTCCACCAGTCGTTCGAATGGCGCGAGTGTATTTGTCGACGATTAGTGAATGGGACTTCTTCCTGTTCCAATTAAATGCGTAAACCGTGGTGATAACAGTGTACTCACGTGAGTGAATCATTGAACCGTGTTTTATAGGCTTTTTAGGTTATCGTATATGGAAATATCAATTCGCGGAACACTGTAGCACCCTTTGATATAGTGAAATTGTTTTTGTTTTGCGGAAACATTTCGTAGGATAAACGTTGGACATCTTAGTATAATTTTATATAACTCGGCACTTAAAATAATAACTACAGAAATCTACAATTATGCTTTTGTCACTTAATAATGAAAACATGTAGCCTAACAATTTTTTATTTAATGGCGGTCTCACTGTGTCCAGTCTTTAACCTTAAATTTCCATAGAAAGAAGAGACTGAATTCTGGTAATGCTTGTTGCCATTCAGTCCAGAACTTTTCGTCTACTCGTCTGCTGTCTGAAAACGTAAACATTAGAATATACAAAACTATAATTTTGCCTGTGGTTCTGTAAGGTAAAGGTAAAGTTGCCCCGGTGCTAAACGAATTAAGCACCACGCCATAAAGGCGTATGGGGGAATGGATGTATAGATCCACATTTTCTTGACTTCGGCACTTGCTGGAGGTGAGTGGTAGGCTTCACGCCCCAGCCGCTTTACCCCCGGGAAAGAGTCCCCGGCACACTTTAGATAGGAGGTTGGGTGGACCCCAGAGCCGGTCTGGACATAGAGAAGAGAAAATTCTTTATGCTACTGAGACTCGAACTCCAGCCCATAGCCAGTCCCTGTACAGATCACGCTACCCTGGCTCCTCAGATCTCAAATCCGCGGTTCTGCATGGATGTGAAACTTATCTCAGACATTAAGGGAGGAACATAGACTAATGGTGTTTGAGAACAGGGTGCTGAGAAGAATATTTGTACTTCGCAAAGTGTAATTAGAATGATCAAGTTAAGTAAGATATGGTGGGCAGGGCATGTAGCCCGAATGGGGGAGAAGAGGAAATCATATAGGATATTGGTGGGAAAGCCAGAAGGAAAGAGATCACTAGGAAGATCAAGATGTAGATCGGTATATGATAGTAAATGAATCTTAGATAGTATGGGGTGGTGTGGACTGGATTGATATGGCCCAGGATAGAGACCTGTGGAGGTTTCTTGTGAACACGGTAATGAAACTTCGGGTTCCATAAAATGTTGGTAAATTTTTTATTAGCTTTACAACTGGCGGCTTCTCAAGAAGGGCTCAGCTTCTTGGAGTTAGTTGGGTAGATAGTTTTCCATAGAAAGGACTTCATCAGCTGAATACAAGCGCTGGTGCGAGGTCAGCGTGTAGACAGGACTTCCAAAGTCTGCTGTGGTAGCTTTGGTGCCAGGTAAAATTCTTTGCAGTTTCAGCTTTGTCCGCGTTGTTGGTACGATACATCGAGTAGTAAATTGTTTTTGATGTATTACGTTCAGCTTACAGAGTCATCTAACGGTAGCAAACATGAAACCGAGAGAAACAGTTGAACGTTCGTGCCGCTCTGCAAGTTCATACATGTGCTAGTGAAAATGGACGCGGTTATGTGCTTGTGAATACAGAATACAAATCTTGTGCCCATTTCACGTGTTATGACAACGGAGTAATCAGTTTGTGACCAGTTACGATGGAGTTACTGGCCCTGCGTGGAATTGCCGGAGCGTTGCCTATGGACAGCCGTGTTGAAGACCTTGCCAAAGCAACAGGTAGGTGGGGGAAGGGTTCAGATTACTGCTCGCAAGCTGTTGTAAACCATAGCCCTGCACCGTGACTGGGTGATGAAATGATTGAGCCTCTTGCCACGTTAACAAACTCAACGTTTCGGAAAGTGGATCTCTTTCCGGCCTTGGGTTAGCTCTTGCTAAGGGACCCAACAGAGTAGGTGTCTCCCCCTTCACTTGAGAATGGCAACAGACCCAGTTTCCGAAATGTTGTGTTCTCTAGTTTTTAAGATACCGGACGATGGGCGAAGTAAAAAGATCGAATAATTCTGAGTGTTATACACCAATTTTCAGAACCCTTTAGATACAACCCCCGATTATTTAGTTCTACTGCCCGTAGCATATTGTGACAGAACTATCCTGGCTCCGTGTACATTTGTAGATCTGAATATGTGCGCTGCGGACCTCCAGACATGAATTTCCCTCGAAATCTTTGGTTCCATGAATTTAATTGTGTGAAAAATCTTACAGTTCTTTCTCAGTTCAAAGTATTAGCGACTGGAAGTTAACAATAGATCATACTGATTCCGTATGACCCACAAAGTCTCTCAAGAACTTTTATTGTAGACAATAAGAATTAATTTCGTCGAAACCCACGTAGCAAAAGTTGATAAAATTGACTGTGTTTAAGTACCGCTTTGTGAACACCCAAGGCCTAGTAGAAATCAACGCTTTCTTAACTTCGGCTGTGGGTGGAGGTTAGTGGTTAGCTTCACGCCACAGCTGCTTTACCCCTAGGGAAAGAGACATCCGTACAGTTTCGACAGCAGGGCGCAGAGCCGGTCTGGATGGGGCGTCAAAAAGAAAAAAGCCTAACCTAGCCGGAAATGAAACACCGCTCTAATCAATTTAGCCTGCTGACTGGACTGTCAGACCACAATATCAAATTTAATCGAAATCGTTCCAGCAGTCGAGGAAATGAAACATGGTTTCAGACAGAATGATCTTTACTGAATGTTTTTTATTGCTAGTGGGGTGGGACTAAGCCCCTTGTACTGCGGTCACTTCTGGCCTATTGTACCAGCCCCAGATGATAGGTGAGGGTGACTGTGGAGCAATTGGTGGAATGAAGATTGGCAGGGGAAACCGAAGTACTCGGAGAAAACCTGCCCCAACGCCACTTTGTCCACCACAAATCCCACTTGACCAGACTCGGGATCGAACCCGGAGCCGCCGCGGTGGTACTGAATGTTAGTTTTATTCGTTTAGTGTAAGAATGAACTAAAGACATCCATACAGGATCTGGGTCTGGAAGACTGTGTTACTCCTGGCTCGTTAACGTGACTCGTTTCGAACCCGCGTACTTTTGGTTCCTATTTGACGGCGCTGTCAGTGGTCGGGCTGTGTAACGTCGAACGGTAGGATGGTTGAAAATGGGGGGGAAAACTCGCTGTCTTAGCGGTTGTGGCCTGATCAAGGCACCATACCAGCATTTGCCTGGAGGGACTGAGGACATCCACGAGAATCCTCAGTCATGCTAGCCAGTGTCCCGACCGAGATTCGAACTGGCAACATCTCGAATACAAGTTACCGCCACACCAACCTTCTTGGTTTAACCCGTACCTTCAGTTGCTTAAGCAAGAGGAAATAACAGGTTCAACCTGAAACACTGGACGTGTATTGAGTCCTGTCTGCTATCAACAGACTGCGCAGTGGTTTCAGTAGTCCCCTGACTGAGGTAAGGGCTGTTTGATGTGTATGGGGTGTAGCAGGAGTACGTCACCTTCACTCCTACAGTGCAACTGCAACCACTGCCTCTCTACTTTCTGCCACATTTCCCTTCATGCGCAACCCAGAGGCTCTAGACGCTTGCCGTAAACCGAACCCGACAGATACGCCACTCTCAAGTGTCTGCGGCTTTTATGTTGGCTGGCCTTGTTCTTGTTGCACACACAGTTATTACGACTGTAAGTTGAGCTCTACAAACACAGAACAATAGACATTTATGCTTTAATAAACATATACATATCAACGAAGAAGATAAAATGAAATCTTTCTGTAGAGTTTAATTTAAAATTCAACCATCTTAAAAATAAATATTACTGGAAACTCATGACAAGTACATCGATTCATCAGACACAATTTGTAACTTTGAAGTGATTGTTGACCACAGTCTGACCAACCATGTAATGAAACACAGTATACTGAGATGTTCCGTGGCTGGAGTTTTTGTGCCTCAGCTAAGTGAGCTTCTCTTCTGTCGACGCCGACGCCGACGCCAATGTAAATATTCGAAAGTTTGAATCTTTCCGAAGCGCTTGTCTTCGAGTTCTGTATTGACTTTGAACCAAGTCCCCTATTTCATAACGAAGTTCATGGTACATGTTTTTATTCAGTCGCAAAGGAATTCCAAGCTTTCAGATTAAATTAAATATTTTGATATGACTCTTTTCCCGATATATTATCTATATACAGTGAATGTCCCAGATATTTTAAGGGTTTAAAGTTATATACATATGAAGTGTAGAGTTTTCCTTTAATAAGTTATTCCCCTGATGATGGCCTTGTAAGGCCGAAACATGTCGAGTTCTGTGTAACACAGTCTACTCAGGCAATAAACGAGTTGTACGTGGATAGTAACTTGACATTTGACTTCATATAAAAGAGTCATCACCGTGTTCACACAAGACCACGATTTGGTGCTATCTGTGGCCAGTTCAATCCATATAACGTACAGTATAGCATCATATCTGTGTGTAAGTTCTGTCTCCCTTTAATAACTGTGTAATTGAGGGATTTTTATGAAACTTGATATGGGAACCTTACCATATGCGGGCACTTCACACTTTTAATTTCTTACCGCGAATACTGAGCGNCATATCTGTGTGTAAGTTCTGTCTCCCTTTAATAACTGTGTAATTGGTATGGGAACCTTACCATATGAGGGCACTTCACACTTTTAATTTCTTACCGCGAATACTGAGCAGGTTAATGTAGCGGTCATCATATTAAGGAAGTGTTCGGTTCGAGTCTTGGTCGGGACTCGTCTATCATGAAAGATTTCTTCTTGATTTTCTACAGCCCTCAGACAGATGCTGGGATAGTATCTTGAATAGGCCACGGCGGCTTCCCTTTTTTCAATTAATTACTCACCAGTCCTGTCTTTTGTCGCTGCATAATCAGAGATATAATCAGCGTCGTTAAATAAACCGCAAGATCATGTGCCAGAAGTAAAACGTAAAAGAGTTCGGCGTCTTTATGATTGGTTGAGAGCAACAGTCGTTTTGCGATTAAAATGGCTGAGATACGGCAAAGTCTGTCACCAGTAAAGTCAATATCACCTGCCCAGTTTGCGAGGTCCCTATGTGCGAGACAGTCCGGTGTATAACTCGCTGATACAAAATTTAATCGAAATCCGTCTAGTGGTTTCCGAGATCAATGACTCGGATTAACGGCGCATATGTGACTTGTGACGCGCTTAATTTATGCATCTTGTGCAAAATGCACACAAGGAAGACGCAAGTTGCCCGCGTTTCCCCACAGTCCTGCAGGGAGCCTTCTTTTGTTTAGTAATAACATCCATAATAACTTAAGACATGAATTCCTTTCGTCACATCCCGAAATAAATTTAATTAACAAAGAAAAGACTTGACAGATATTTGTTTCAATGGTAATGTTAAACACAATGTGACGTTCCTGAACGAGAATTCTCGTTCGTAGCTTGGAAAGGGTTAAGACTGTTCAGAATGAATCGTATGTTGACTCTGAACCTGGAGTAAGTTGGCGTGTGTCAGCGGAACGAGCCTCCATTTGGCACAACAGATGTCATTAGTGTAGGTTTTATTTGCTCAAGACAATCTTGGTTTGTTGCCTGATAAAGCGAATGATTTCCGGTCAGAGAGAGAGAGAGAGAGAGAGAGAGTAATGGCTTGAACGTGTCTGTCTGCCAATATTTGCTTGTAGATACGCACATGCATATGGCTGGACTCAAGTTGCAGCTTGCCTAACTTGCAGGCGAGTTAGTTACCACTCACACGTAACGCACCCGGTTTGAGTTCTGGAGAATTTACAGTTCCAGTTTTTACGGGTTTTCCTCAGTCTCGCAGTGAATGCCGGCACAAAATAATATGCCGCTGCAGATTCCTTCAGCACTCTCTTCTGTTTGTCATTCATAATCACCTTTCCATTTAACTTTGTATCCAGACAGGTGGACTCAATGGCATCGCTTCTTGTGGAGCTCTGTTCGATTCTCAGTCAGGACACCTGATATCGTGACTGGAGTTTCCGTTGTCTTCCTCAGCCACTCCAGGCAAATGCTTGTAGAACACTTCGATTAGATCATAACAGTTTCTTTCTAAATCACTTTCAGTTTATCAGTTACCAGGGGCGGACTTACCGGTAAGCGGGCAGAGCGGCCACATGGGGCCCCCGAATTGTTCTGTGAAATTTTAACATTTGTCCATGGTATTGCTTATGGGCACGGGATAGCGACGGAATACGGGATGGATGGCTCGAGTTCGATTCCAGGCAGATGCGAAAGGTTTATCTCTACTTCACAGCGTCCAGACCGGCACTGGGGCCCACCCAGCCTTCTTTGGCAAGGACTCTTTCCCATGGGGTTAAAGCTTCCGGGGCTTGAAGCTATACCTCCACTCCCCCATACGTCTTCATAGCATAGTGTTCAAGCACACGGATAAGTCTGTCGCTTACTTCTCCTGATGTAGTACAGATTTTTAAACTCTGAATTGTGGAAAAAGCTTAGGTTTCGTGGAAAGCAGTGCAAAGTGCTGAAGTGTCTTGTGCCTTGTTCAAGAGTGAGATGAATCAGCGAGCCTCAGTGAAGGCAACGCTTTTTTTTCTTCTTAATTTATGTACTTAATGTTCCCTTCGAGCAAGGGCTGCTAGTTCAGAGATTTTCGCATTTTTCTATAAATGTGCTCTTATATTTCCAATAATTGTTTAACAAAAAAATACTTTCACAATTGCAGATAAGGTGTAGTTGTCCCTGCTCTTAATTAATTAGGCACCACGCCACAAAGGCGCAT